AGAGAGAGAGAGAGAGAGAGAGAGAGAGAGAGAGAGAGAGAGAGAGAGAGAGAGAGAGAGAGAGAAAGAGGAGACCGTGTAGCACCAGCGAACTGCAATGGGGCTTGAGCAGGACAGCAACTCTAATTCCAGCCACTTCAATCCTCATGACAAAAAGATGCTCGCCTAGGATGAGGACATTCTTGCAAAGGGACTCGCCTAGGATGAGGACATTCTGCAAAGGGACTGAAGCAATTGGGTCACCTGTCCGGGGAGGCCGTGGCATAGGGCCTCGCTGCACTACTCTTGAAACGAGCATTTACATGAGCGCGCCACCGCTGCACTTACTCGTGAAGTCGGCGCCCGTTTCGTGAACCTAGAGCTGTCGGATGTCACTCTTGCAAGCGACAAGAGTTGTCGTCGCTGCACTACTCTTGGCGTGTCACTCTAGAAAACGAATTTCATGAGCTGCCAGGTAGCCTTCACGAGCGCTCTTCACGAGCGGTCTTGATCGCCTGCCTGCGACTCCCGTTTTTGCAAGGGAGGTCGGACGGTTTCTTGAAAGGCCGCCCGATTCCAAGATCGAGCCGGGTCTGGACGGACAACACATGCACTGGCCGTCGTTTTGTGCTTCAAGAGCACTCGTGAAGGGCTGCTGTTCACACTAGCGTGCATGGTCCCACTGTGGTGGGACCGTGATTTAAAAAATGGCATGCACTGTTCCTTGTTTTCGGTTAAGGTGGAGAGCAAAATCGGTGCAGGGTTAAAAAAAAAAAAAAAAAAAAAAAAATTCGACGCAGGATACCAGTCCGCACGGGACTCGAAGACGCTGGTACTGGCCGGTCCCGCGAACGCCAAGAGTGACGGGCGTCGCTGCACTACTCATGCACAACTCTTGCGAGTTTCAAGAGTGCTTCATGAGTACCAATATGCTAGAGTAAGGTCTGGACCTCACAGGCTCGCGGAAAGGCGGACGGATTGACGCGGAGTGGTTTTTCAGACCCCACAGGCCGTAGGAAGCGGCCTGGAAAGAATCGGACGGGCGTTCCACATCTTTTTTTTGTCAGGAAAGCGGACGTGGCAGCTCAATTTCCGAAATTTTGTGCCAGCCTTACATGGTAGGTCCCTTGGAGGCCTTCCGTCGTGAACGGCCTCGGAAGGCCCGTTTGTCCGTCAGGCATCCAGTGGACCGAATGGCCAGTCCCGGGAACACACAGGCGGCCATCGTGGTCTGTCGCACGAGATTCGTTGGGGACTGTGYGGCGACGCGCGGTGGTCCCAAYGGGGAGTCGGCCTCCCYKCCGATTTTCGAATTTCGRCCGGCGTTCGAATGGAGGGGCGTCAGGCTGCTGCACTGTGTGAGTTCCCGTGGACGAACTGGAGACTTGCCCTCTCTCCCAGCCATCTCCATATCTCTCAGCGGCCATTGGGGGTTGAGTGCCTTGACACAGGGTGTTCCCAGCAGGGTGTGTCGTTAGCAGTTGAGCTTCCTCCTAGCAATGCTACGTGCATGTACGAAGTGGGTGACGCGTTTGCCTGGTGGCCGTTTGGCCAGCAGACAGGTGCAAGGTGGCTGTTTGCACACTCTCCCTTGTGTAGCAGTGGTTGGGGAGCCGTCTCCTAACGCGGTGGATGGAAACGTGGAACCGTGTTCGATGTTGAGAGTGTGAGAGGGGGTCTTGCTGGAAGTCTCTCGTCCAGCCTCATGCGCTTGCGGGGGCGGTTGCGGACCCCGGCCGTCGGTTTGGCTGTCGGCTGTGTGAGGGATGTGGAGCATGGCAATGGGACAGCCATTGCTCCCAACAGTTCAACGACCGGCAGTGTGAGGCCATTAATGCCTGCAAGGCAGGTAGGGGATGCCGSARCTGTTCCACGATCACSTCCTTGTTCGAGGTCGGGAGCGTTGCTCTGTTGCTGYCGTGGTGAAGTTGAAGGCCAGGACTCGGCTTCCAAGGCTTCCACCGGACAGAGCGCTTCCGCCATCGTCGTCGTGGGAGTGGATTGGACGAGACGGGGTTGTGATCCTTGTTTTGTGTGGGTAGCGGTCTTGTGTGTCCTTGTCACGCTCGGGTTGCTTGTTTTGTGCTGCTAGCCATCATCTTCTTGCTTGTGCTGTTGACGATTTCTGTGTCCCGGCAAGGCAAGTAGACGAGGTTGTTCGTGATCTTGTCATGGAAGGGGGGCGATGGACACACGAGCTCGCCAGGTCATACGACGACGAGAGAGCTCCGCCACACGGGGCAAGGGATGACGGTGGCGGCTTCTCGTCACAGTTGAGCCAAGGTCTGTCACAAATCAGCCAGGACACAGGGATGACAACACATGCACCTCCATCGCCTTTTGCTGGTGGCCGTCTGCCGGAATGGTTGAAGAGCCCCATCCCCCCGGAAAGGATGGGGTCACCATTCCAGTCTTCATAACCGCCACCTGCATCGTCGTTGTCCACCCCTCATGGTGGACATCAGCACTTCACCAGCCCCGCGACGCCGACGTTCGTTCCGCAGCCGCTGTCCACGCATCCACCACGTGTCCCGGCGACGCCGACGTTCGTTCCGCARCCGTTGTCCGYGCATCCACCACGTGTCTCGGCCGTTTCCCTYYCRSYTGCACTATCAACGGATGGAGCAAGGGAATCACATGCGGAGTGGTCATGGACRCACTYGCATTCTGCCATGCCATCAACCGRCGAGAAGAGCAATGGCATGGACAGTCGGTGGGCAGTGTACGGCCAAACGGCGAGTGGCCATCGTCYGMCTAGTGAGGGAGTATCGAGCRTGAGGCCTCACGGCAATGACGGGKGAGCATYGGTGCARGATTCCGGTCGTCGACGATCGAGGAAMGAATCTCCCACCCAWYGAGACATGCRAGACATTCCTRTGTCACCTACCRTCAGATCGTCGAACCTTTCTCCGCGATGCGTGGCCGACGTGGACGGTGGTGATGATGACATGGACGGTGAGCAGCCGACAATCAGCAGGCCAAGCGTGGAGGAGGGGACGCGAGCGCCATTACCGCGGCCAGACAAGAACAAGCAGACGAGGCCTTGGGTTTTGGAGGAGAAAGTCGACCTTGCCGAATGCATGCGGGAGGATGACGCGCTTATGGCAGCCGCTGATGGCAACCACAAGTGTATGAAACTTTCAGAGAGAAATGAGTGGGTGTCGAAGAGGATGGGGGAGAGGGGGTGGAGGAGATCGACCGAGGACTGCAGGAAGAAATGGTCGGAGTTAACGAGCAAGTTGAGGGTCATCAGGGACAAGTGTGGGGCATCGGGCAAACCCTCGTATTGGGAGATGACAAGGGAGGAGAGAAAGAAGGAGGGGATGTTCCTTGCCTTCGAACAGCCTGTTTGGGAGGCCATGGCTTGGTACAACAACTTGTTGTCGCTAAGGTGTGAAAATACGCTCGCCTCGAGTGCTTTGCAGACAGGGGAGGGAGGGAGCTCTGGTAAAGGTACACCGGAAGGGGGGGGGACACCTCAAGGCGGAGGGACAATGCAAGCAGGGACGACAACAGCCGACGGGGCGTCAGATGCCCGTCCAGCATCAGCAGGGGGCAGGACATCAGATGGGCAGGGAACATCGCAGGGGGCAGGAACCTCTCGACGAGGAGGGACGGACGAGACGGAGAGCGCACGAAAGACACGCCGCACGGGCGGTGGGAAAGGTCGGGTTACAGGAGAGAGCGGATCAGCGGTTTCAAGCATCGCCGAAGCAATGCATGTGTCGACGCGGGCGTACTGTGAAGGACTGGACAAGGCGTTGGACAGGGCCGCTGGTGTGCTCGCGAAGGCGAGCACCGAAGGAACGAATGTTGTCGCTGGCAGGATAGGTGACATGGCCACCCAGATTGGCGAGGTGGCGACCTTCATGCATAAGGGAAATGCGGTGCTGGAGCTGCTGGTGGGTGTCATGGCACGACGAGGGAACAGCAACGGCGGGCGGTGAGGAGACAATGTCGGTTAGCGGCGTAGGGAACGGTACGGTTTCCGAGGCATATATATATATATATATATATATATCGTCAAATAGAACTGCCCGGTAAACCGTAGGCAGAGATATATATATATATATATATATATATATATATATATATATA